GCCTGCGGGACGTCCCCCCCCCCCCACTCCTGACACACTCTTCCCCCGTCCCTCTTTGGAGGCGGAGACAATAGCACCGGAACGAGGGTAGGGCCCCGCATGGCGGCATCCTCGGTATCAGGCTGGCGGGATCGATCTAGTCAGGGCGTGCATGTGGACAGGAGAAAAAGCAGGGAGAGGCAGAGGCGTTGTCTCACTTGATGCAAAGGATGCTGGTGACGAGACGCTCGCACAAACCATCGCCCTGGGGGCCGCCCGTCTTGCCACCCTCCTCCTCGGAGCAGGGGTCCTGCAGGCGGTTGACAATTCCCTCAGTCGGAGTCCAGATGGTGGTACTGCCGCCACCTGGAGACAAGTGCACGTGCATGCATGCATACATGTGTGTGCATGTGTGGGGAACATGAAAGGAGGGGGCGGGTATGGTGTCAGTCGGCATGTGTGTGTGTGTGTGGGAGGGGGGGGGGGGAGGGAGAGGGTGAGCGGAATGACACCCATGGCCCGAAGCGCACCATCAAGATTGACGGCATTGTGGATGCCAAGGTCAAGCAAAAGATCCGTGAGTGCGGGAATCGTGAGCCCCACACGGGTGCTGGCGCGCTCCGAGGAGACGATGTACAGTCGGCCCTCGCGATCATGCCCGATGGCCGTGCGGGCGGCCGGTTGGTCGAGGAACCACCCATGCGGCAGCTCGCGGCCATACGCCGGGCAGTGGTAGGCCTCACCGTCGCGCACGAGCCAGAGCATGCCTGTGCAAGGGGGTGTACGTATGCGCACATGCGCCCAGGTGAGTGCCAGGCAGCCGGGAGGCAAGTCAAGGCAGGGGACAGGGAAAAGAGACCCAGGCCAGGGGGCACGGCGAGGCACGCACCGGACACGAGCTGGGCAAAGTTGAGGGAGTTCCGTGAGACGGCTTCCTGCGTGAGGTACCCCACCACGAAGTCGCCGGTCTAAGGTGCACCGCACATGGCGGAGGGCGGGACCCACGCAGGGTTGAGGGGGGGGGGAGGGTAGTGCAGCATCGGTGTAAGAGTCGGAGCCGGGAGGCGAGCCAGAGGGCAAGCGCAGGGAAAGAGGGGGGACAGGGGACACCCGGTCCCGGCACGCACGGCGGTCAGGCCGAAGTTGACATTATCCAGACCGGACACCTGGACCCGGTGTCCGTTGCTGATGATGTTCCCGACGCATTCTTCATCCTCGCGGTTGAAGAAGCCGGCGTTCGTGGCGAAGAGACAGCCGCCCGCTGGTGGGACAGACGACACAAGGGGGGACGGGGGGTCAGCCGGGGCCAGGCATGGCACAAGCAGCGCGGGCAGGGCCAAGTGTGGCGAGTACCTTTCGCGGTGGCCGAGGTATGTGCCACCCCCGGGCAGGCCTGTCCTCCGGGCGGCAGGACGGAGAAGTGCCCGATCGGGTTGTCCAGGCGGAGGACTGTGTGTGTGTGTGTGTGCGTGCGTGCGCGCGTGCGTGCGTGCGTGCGTGCGTGCGTGCGTGTGTCTGTGAGATACGGCGCGTGACGAGTCCCTGGCGCCGGGTGGCGCGCGAGAGGCGGCAGGAGCCCCGTGGCTGGCAGATGGACGCACCGTAGACCGTGACTCCCTGCAAGGTGTGCTTGGCCAGGGCGAATGAGGCGCGTGACGGGGATGCCTGGTGGATGGCCGGCATGGAGGCGTCCGCATGGGGGCAGGCGTCGGGGCGTTAGACTCCCGGGCGAGGGAGCCGGCAGGAGCCGGCGGAGCATGGGCGCGGAGAGTGAAGGGAGCCGGGACCGAGGGCGCACATTGGCGGCGGCCGCGGGCCACCGGACGAAGTCGTTGGTCTGGGTTTGCGGGGGATTTGACCCGCTAAAAATGCCGACACCCGGTTGCCGGGCAGCGTAGAGGGGCTCCGAGCCGGCGTCCACGCCGGCCGGCGGCTCCGAAACGGCGGTCCCATCCGCGAGGACCCGCAGCTCGCAGTAGTCAGGGCAGGCTCTGGGGCAGGCGCCTCTCCCGGGGGTCAGAGCCATCGCGGCCAACAGGAGGCTCAGGAGAGCCAGGGACAGGAGCCGCCGGGCCGGGCCGCAGCCGGCGTCGCCGCGGCCGATGGGGCGGGGCGCGGGCATTGTCGGGGGGGGGGGGAGGCAGCAGCAAAAGAAGGGGAAGAAGAAAAAGGCAAGTGCGTGGTGGCTTGGGGAGGAGGGCAGGCAGGGCGGTGCGGGGAGGTGCGCACAAGGGCTGGGCGTGTGATCTCCATTGGCCAGGGGCCGGGGCCGCGGGCCTGATCGGTTGCACTTCGGTCTCTGCCTGGTTCTCCTCAATATGGGTGGGGGGGTCTGTACGCCCGGTGGCGACTCTGGCGGGGGGGGCGGGGGTGGAAAAGGAAAAACAAGCCCGGAGCCGATCGGGGCGCCGGCCCGTGCGCGGCGTGATGTTGGTCGAGTCATGCGCGGGAGGAGAAGCCACGGAGCGCGATCACGCCGGCAAAAATCACAAGCCGGAATGCGTGCCCGGCCCGGCGCGGCTCATTGTGCCCGGCGGCCCCGCACGCGGCTCCGGGGAACGGCGGCCCCAGGCAAGGGGAAGGAGGCGTGTGAGCGTGCCACCCAGGCTCGCGGCCCGGCCGGGGACCATAGTACCCAGCGGCGGCGGCGGGGGGGCGGCGCGCACGCGCGCGCGCGCGCGCGCACCCAGACGAGGCGTGTGGATGGCATGTCGTACGGAAGCGTTCCGCGCCTTTCCAATTGACAACGCACAGGCGAACGCTGCGCGCAGGTCTCTCTCCCTCCCTCGTTCCCCCGCGCGGCCCGGGGCGGCTGCCCTGGTGGGCGGGGAGGGGGGGGGGGGCCTGCCGGCGAGCGGGTGCCCTGCCTGCCGGCGCGCGCGCGCGCATGCGGGGCGTGCCGCCCAAGCCAAGGCCTTCTAGCTGGGGCGGGCGCGGGGGCGGCTGGCAGACGGGCCCCGCGCGCACGGGGCCGGGCCTAGCCAGCGAGCACCGGCATGGGCAGAGAGGCCTGGCGGTCAGGCGCGCGTGGCCTGGGCTTGTAGTGTCTTTTCC